GCGCCTGGCGCGGCTGGGGCTTTGGGAATTGCGGGTTGTGCAGTTGGCGCCCGCACTCAAGCTTGAAGCGGCCCTTTTGCAGAATCGATATTATCATTATACTACCAGCCCTTTTGCAAAATTGATATTATCATTATACTCCCACATATATACAATTTTTGAATATAATATATCCTAACCCGTTTACATATAACTTACTTTCTTCACTATATACATGCCCTAATTATAAGTCCGTCTGCATTCCAGTCCGGAAACACGCTGCTGCGCCTGGCGGCGCGGGGCTTTGGGATTCTGGCGGGGATCGGGCTGAGTCTTGGGATTGAATGTCACGCTATAGTGCGCTGCTTTCGTTAGAGTTTTCGCTACTATGCCCAACGGGGCCCCCAATTAGAAAGATACAGGCTTTGGGGAAAAATAATACACAAGCATACTCTTTTCGTGAGTTCTCGCTCTTATAACACCCAGCGGCCCCCAACTAAAATGCACATACACATGCGTAGCGATTATATCTGCTATATACGTTAAATTTATTACGCAGTACATCAGCCTAGCACTACTCTCAGCTGAAGCCTTGCGTGGGCAAACAGTTGTGGCCGGCCCTGAACAAAGCGACGGTTCTTGCTTGCAATATGCCCCTGTGAATTAAAGTGCGAAAGCGCACTAGTCTCTAGGAAAACATCGGACACAAGCGGTGGTCACCGCCGTCGCAGTGTGGGCACAGGACCCAGCCGCGGCTCAGGGCTTCCCGGCTTCTTCTCTGCCGGTCATCTTCCTGCAGGCCATCCTCGATGAGCTGCTCGAACTCCTCCGCGAGTTGATCTAAGTAGTCACCGTAGTCAGCCGTGTCCGGGCGCAGCTCGCTTTGCGCCAGCAGGGCGGCTTGGATGTTGCGCGTAGTCATGACCTGCGGGGCAGGACGCTCATTCAGCATATATTACGAGGATCTACACGCGTGATCTTAGCCACCCCGGCCTCTTTGCCGATCGTTAACTTGACCTTATTCACGGATGCCAAGTATCTCGATTTCACACCGCGCACCATGGCTGATCTGTCTCTATTAAGAGATCTACAGTCGAGAGCCGCTCCCGCAGCAACGAGCACTCAGCAGTCCCATGCAAGTACTGCTAGAAAAATGTTGCTTCAGCTTTCGGGGTCTAGGGCTACAGTTAGGAGATCAGATCTGCCAGCACTTCTTCCTACGCACAAATACTTTGACAGCACGCGCATGCACTTGCACATGCAAAAGGATCTCCCTCAACATGG